TTCACTAGTTTTCGACTATTTGCATTTTGCTACATTTAAATTTACTAAGCCATAAATGTTCGTAATTATTACTCCTACGTAATACTCAGAAATTCTATAGCGTAAACTTTCGTAATTATTATCTCTACGTAATACTCTGAACTAATCGTAAGTTTTTCGTAAGTTTACGCTTGCGTAAAAACTTACGGAGTTTTACGTATATTTTTTTTTGCTGGTGTTTGCTATTTTGATTCCTGCGAAATTGGCAGAATTCAAACTCTGCTGAAATAGAGTTTGAAATTCTGCCAAGTGGCAAAAGTTACATGACCTGTGTAATGCCTGAAACTACTTTGAGCTAATGCCCAAAGCATATACAAACTAGCGTAATTTCACATTTCAGGTAACCAATTCTACAACAATCACAACTGTTTTCCAAACTACAACAATTTTTTTTTAATAACTGTTTCTCTGACAAACCCTTCCCGATACAACAACCTACTTGACACATCCCATCTTTAATAACTACTTAACCACAACCTTTTTGACAACTCTTCCTTCCTTAAACTCTCTTCTTCCTGACATCACTACTTCTACAGCACCACTACTTCACCACACACACTTTCTTGCAATTGTCTTCCAAAAATCTTTGTATTCTTTATCACACTAAATTATTTTGTCATACTTAAATAAAATAAGTTATTAAAAAAATAAAATTGCTCAAATAAGAATAAAAATAATATAATATTAATTTAAAAAAAAGAACCATTAAATAAAAAAATAAAAGTTTAAGTTTAAATTAAAAAATCAATACGTTAAATAAAAAAATAAAAGTTTAAATTAATTAAGATTAAAAAAATCAAAAAAGTCAGATTTTGCCGGCTAATCAAATTTTAAAATCACATGTAACCAAAATTTACAAATTTATATTATGTAATCTTGAAAATTTGATTGGCTGGCAAAATTTTTGTATAGTATTTTTTCCATATTTTTTAGTTGTTTTATTTTTAAGAATGCATTTATTTATCACTCCTATGCGACGTATGCTATGTGTTGTCTCACATGATCAACCAATAAAAATTCAAGATTAGGTGTAACGTAGCATGATCAGAAAAATTCAAAACAAATATTCATTTTGAGAAAATCACTTATAACTTAAAATTTTGTATAAGAAACTACCTTTTGTGCTCTAACAAAATAAATTTCTTACAAAATTTTACTATAAAACTCTATATTATTCTAACTCTAACCCTAATACTAACCTAATACTAACTCTATCTAACCCTAACTCTAATTATATAAAATTTGATTTACATTATACCTGATCTTATGAGATGACAACATCGCATATGCATTGAATAAATTATCTCTATTTTTAATTATTGCGGTTTGCAAAAAAATGTGAAATTTGCAAATCAAAAAAAAAAAAAAAAATTGATAATTTCTGATTTCTGATTGACATTACTTTTGATGATGTATATATATCAACTAATATTATATATTTTAGTTCTTCTATATATTTATTTAGCATATATTTTTTTAAAAAATTTCATTTCTAATAACTAAAATTATTATCCCAGAGCATACTTTGAATGCACAAATGTCTTTTTTATCAATTTCTAAAATTTATTGTAATGAAAATGTAAACTATACTAAAGTTTTTAGCAATATTATATAATAATCTTTATAAGATTAAATTTAGTGAAGCTTATAAATTTTCTTCTTGCTTATCATGCAATAGTAAATTTTGCTAGGCTAGAAAAGAAGCAAAATTTAATATTACACAATCAAGTTCTTTACAACACAAAGAGTATGCAAAATATATTCCTACAAAATATGTTAAATTAAAATATATTACATAATTATGAATCTACAACTTTCAATCAGAATCAAAAATCATCGATTACTTTTTTTTTTTTTTTTGATTGGCAAATTTCATATTTTTTTGTAAACCACAATAAATATTTGTTTTTGCAACTGTGATTACTAAAGCTATCCAATTTATTATAAATCCGAGTTTGTATCAGGCTCAAATTTATAAATTAACTGGCTTTAGCAATAGCTGTTGCAATCACAATAATTAATCAAAAAAATTAACTATAGGATTCAAACTACAATAAAATGTGAACAATTAATAGGAGAAACTGTCTAAATATAGATATGATTTTCATTCTCCATTACACAAATCACTCACCAGTCAAAATATCACTACGGGATTAGTCAACCAATCAAATTACGAAATTTATAAAAAAACGAAACCATGGGATTTAAGAGAATTTAAAAAATATGTTGTAAAGCAAAGTAAGAGCTTTATATTTGTTTAACTATTTTCAATTCATAAAAAATATAAATCAAGCAAGCCTTCCAAAATTGTATTGTAAAATAATATAAAAAAATTTTTCATCAATTGTGTAATAATTTTGTAACGTATCAACAGTTCAAAGAATTGATCTGATTTCTTTTTTTTTTTGATTTGCAAATTTCACATTTTTTGCAAACCACAATAACTTATTATTATTACTCAATTTTTTTAATTTAAATATTTTTTTTTAAAATATATATATTATTGCAGTTTGCATAGTTTTGTGACTCTTATGATTACTTTTTTTTATGATTAAATAATTGTAATTGTAATCATGATTGTTAAAGCCAGTCAATTTATTATAAATCCGAACTTGATATAAACTCATATTCATGATAAATTCACTGGCTTTAGCAATCACGATCACAATTACAATCATTTATTCATAAAAAAATTAATTGTAGGGGTCACAAAATTATGCAAACCACAATAATTTAAAATATTTTTTAATTAAATTATGATTTGATTGTTTTTTTTACTTAAATAGTAATTTTTTATAACTTAGATTTTTTTAATTTTTTTTATAATTGTTTTTAAATAAGTGGTAGTATTGTAGCGAAATTAATGAAAAGTGTTTAGAGAAAGATGATGTTGAAAAAGAGGTGTCAGGAAAGGGTAGTATCGGAGAAGAATGGTGTTTGGAAAGAATGGTGTCTAGAAAGAGTAGTGTTGGGAGAGAGAAAAAGTGGTGTTGGGAAGGGTGGTGTCAGGGAAAATTGGTGTTTAGAAAGAGGGTATTAGGGAAGAATGATGTTTGAAAAAATTTGGTATTAGAAAAGAGTAATATTGGAGAAAGGTGATTTGAGGAAAAGCAGTATCGGGAAAGAATGGTGTCTGGAAAAAGTGATGTTAGGAAAGGTTTGCCAGTAGAGAAGAGATTATTATTAGGTAAGTAATAGTGTAGAGAATAGAGTAGTTATTGAGAAATATTTGTCAAGTAAATAGTTGCCAAATAGGTGATTGTGTTGAAAAAGAGTTTGTCAAAGAGTTGGAGTAAAGATTGTATTAGAAGAATGATTGTTGAGAATGAAATAATACCAAATTATTATTAAATTCTTAATTTTTCAAGTTTTAGAATTTTGGTATAATTTTAGAATATTGATATAGTTTTAGAATTTTGGCATAGTTTTAGAGTTTAGACAAGTTTTGGCTTGAAGGTTAATGCTTGAAACTGGTAATACCAGTTTTTGGCTTCAGTTAACCTAAAACTATGAGATTTTTCAGGCAGTATAATTAGTAAAGACATCTAACCAAAGCAACAACAAAGATGCTAAAAATGATAACTCCAGTAATAGCTAAAGAAGCACCAAGAATGATGATATACTAAAAGTTTTACAACACTAAAAGCAATGATATATTGAAAGCTAGTGACTTCAAAAGCAACTACAACTTCAAAACAGTGATTCAACAGGTAACTCCAAAGCAACAAATCTAATAGAGGCTAGAATGAATTAATAAAGCTATAAATAAAGGGGAAAAAAATAAACTATAGAAAAAAAATATAAATTAAAGCATAAAATAAAATAAACTATAAAAAAAAATAATAAAAATAAAAAAAACAAAAATCTAACTAATTCAGATTAAAAATAAAAAAAAAGTTATATATTAAAAAATTTTGATCTTTAACATATCTGCTTATAGCACAGTTCTTTTATATAGTATTTGTTCTGTATCATGTTTAAGAAGAGTCTAATTTATACATCAAATCAAAATATATATTATGAATATAAAGACAAAACAAACAAAACAGTAAAACATTATATTCAATTTAACAATTATAAGATTTGCTTAATTCTCGCATCTAAAGTTTATTACCAGAAGCAAAAATAAAACAGCAAAATTTTTTTAATTAATAAATATTGTACTATACTGCATCAGAGCATATTTCTATTTTTATTATTGATTTAAAGATTAATATTGTTATAGAACGCCTAAGAACATATTAAAGATTATGTTCTTAAAAGATTCAAAAGACTATGACAATCAAAACAAGCTATAATACATGATAAACGGACTAACGAATAACTGGCAATTGATAAACAAAGATAAGCCAAGAAGTGATAAATAATAAGCCAGAATGGATTTACAATACTTGTAAATCCATACTTATAATATTTCTTTATAATATTTTTTATTGTTTCTTAATGTTTCTTAATGTTTTATTATATTTCTTTATGTTTCTTAATGTTTCTTATTGTTTTTTAATGTTTCATTATATTTCTTAATATTTCTTATTGTTTCTTAATGTTTTATTATGTTTCTTAATGTTTCTTATAGTTTCTTATTGTTTTATATTCTTTTAGT